CATAATTCCGAGGTTTCCAGTCTACAGAGTAGGTATGATTTTGGCGAGCGAGTGCTCAGTGTTTTCTTGGTGAGAATTACAGCTCCTTTCTTTGATTTTTACAGCAGTGGAAGGCTCGGGGAAATTTGTTCTAAGGGGATCTTAATCAAAACATGGCCAGTCGAGTAAACAATCACAAGCTTGTAACGTTAACTCACCCTAATAAGATGCTTGCACTTCAGGCTAGTTTCCTTCAATCTAGAGGTAGTTTTTCAGTGTCACAAGAGTGACACAATTCAATTTCATTGCTAGAAATACCCAAAAAGCATTAAATGTATGGCAATTCCTGAAAATTTGAAATTTTTGCGTCAATAATACAATAGATTACCTGTCTCATATCACCAAAAAACAACTCTCCTCCAACAAACTCCTTACCAAGTGAAACATTTAAAGTGACCTCAGCGTTATCATAGTGATAACTGAGGTCCAGATCTTCTCCTATCTTGTAATGTACTGTGAATGCCTTGTGTGAATCTAAGGTGTTGCCCCCACATTCAGGATACAACAATCTTGTGATTGGCATCAAGTAATTTGTTCTCAGAGGTGAAAAAAAATTCTCATCAAAACCAAGCTCATTCAGTAAAACCTGAAAATAAAAAATTAGAGTCTAAAAGATTTTAAAACATCAAAAAGTGATCCTCAAACGATACTCAAAAATTTTCAAGGGGAATAACTGTAACAATGAGTGTAGGTTAAAAAAGCTTACTTTAATATTCCAATATAAACCAAGCAGTTACATGTTCAAAAGCTATGCATGACTCACAACCCCAGATGCACATCTGGAGGATATTACACAGCTGCACGGGGATACGAATTTTATCTTTGAGTGCTGAAAGTATCTCTTACGAGTGAGTGAAGGGACACTGATGAAATTCCTGATGCGGGAAGCTCTCTTGTAATTGGGTAATCATGTTAGTAACCATAGCGACACCAATATCCTCACATGTGAAAGATAAAAATAGTATCTTCACCGTGCACAATGAAGATATAATTGTTTAGTAAAAGGAAAAAGTGGTATTTCATCAGTATTTATATAATAAATTATTATTAGAACATGAAGAGCACTCTCATTGGGAGTTAGTTAGTTCATGTGCATGTGTTCACCACTTATATATTTATAGCCCAGTAATTTAAGCCTGCACACCTCCAACAATATTTAATTACAGAAACCTTGAGCTACTTTGAAAAAAAATAGGAAACAGTTTTCTGTAAGCTTTAAGATTCCTGGAGATATTTGATAACTGCTGAATTCAAGACTCTCCAAACATCTTGTTAAACCTATATCTATAGGCCAGCATCAGTATACATATTCTCCATGTTGTTTTCTGTACTTTTCCTTTGGTACTGACAGGAGAATTTGAAAATCAATCAAGAGCTTCTTTAGTTGCTTATCATTTCTGTATTCTCATGACCTTACTTGATTCCACACACAGAAAATTTCACCAATGAGGCTGCAAATCTACAACATCCTGTTTTCCTTTTCCCTTAGCTTGACAACTAGTGCATGTATTCTATTACTTTAACTTTCTAGTAATTTATCTTTGAAAACAAATGACAAAAATCTCACCCCAAAGTTGTTCATTGTGTTTGGCCTTCCCTTGGGGAGATCTGTGTTTTCAAAGTTGCTTATTTCTTCAATAAACTTCTCACAAAATTCTGGTGTAAATACTTGAAATGAGTAGACTTTTTCAGCTAAAAGGAAATAGTAAAATAGTATTACTTTGGTTTTATTTCCAGTGACAATAATAATAATAATAATAATAATAATAATGATAATAATAATAATAATAATAATAATTTTATCAATAATCATCATAATGTTTTAATCCAGAGTTATGACTTCAGTCATTTTTAATAAAAACATGATTGATATGTTCATGCTAATTCATGTGATTTTCCAAGTTTGGTTGGTTTTAGTTTTGTATCTGATTGGGTAAGAGGATAGTACAAGTTTTCTCAGCCAGTCATGTACAACAGCGACACAAAGACCACTAACCCTTTACACCCTAATATCAGTATGCATATTCTCCATACTGTTCTCCATACATTCCCTAAGGTGCTGACAAGGAGAATTTGTTTAACAATCAAGAACTCCTTAAGTTGGTGATCATTTTCTCTATTCTCATGGCCTTACTTCACAATTCATAGGTGATATTGTAGAGAGAAATTGTATGCTTATCACTCTCAGGGTCATTTTAAAGGGTTAATGCAATCAAATATTACTTTGGACACTCCACACTCAAGTAGTCTATTGTTACTTTTGAGAAGATGCTCCTTGCCAAGGGTTGTTGCAGTTTTTGCTCATCAAGGTTTCTAGGAAGTAGAAACTTTTACTTGCCGTCACAATGTTTTATCATGGATAGCAATCCATCTGCTGTGGCTGTCACATCATCTCTAGCATAATGCACCAATGAAAGAAAGTTATCAGCAAGAAATGATTCCTGATAGAACAGAAGTAGAAATACAGATGTGAGTGAGTATAATTCCAAGTTATATGTGTAGGCATTTGTATCTCTGGGCCTACACCATGGTAGCAAGAAATACATTATATGAATATAGAAATATAGACTAGTATCCTGTAAGGATGAAATTATGATGGTATCAAAAGTAACTGTGGTTAAAAAAATAACAGACAAATATAAACGTTCTTCCTGAGGAGGGGGTGGGGGTATTATAGGTAGACAGTTACTGAATATTCTAATATGTATGCAAAGATCCCTTATCCTGAGCAAGATAAGGGCAGGTGACCAATATAACAAAGAACTGAGTAGAATATCACAGAGAGTCCAATAAAACCAAAAAAATAAGTAAATTGAGATTGGTTCCCTGCATAATATTTTTAATCTAACACTGATCTACAAATAATTCATTGACCTGTAAAATGTACACATCAGGATGAAGTGGTTTATAATCAGTGATGATGATCTTTTTACGCCTCTGTGAATCTCTTCCAAGCTTCTTCCTTCTTTCTATTTCATCTTCTACCTATGCATTGAAAATGTCATAATTAAAGCAGTTCCAATTATGAATTCTCACTGGATTACAAATAATTTCCTAGATATTTTTAGTAATTGTAGTGAGCCAGCTCCATATTCCATCTTAATTAATTTAAACCTAACATTGAGCATGGACCCTCTCAATTTGTTTTAAAATATAAAAAAAGAGATCTATGTGTAGTACACATAGCCTGCACATCAGAATTTCTCAGAGCACTCTAACCCGTCAAGTCACCCATCGTATTTTCTTAAGTAGTATCAGTGCCATTGCCTAAGTAGTCTTGCGAAAATGCAGGTTAGGGTATACAAAAAGTTAATAAAGGGGGTAAGTTTCTAAAGAAACCGTGGTGCAATGCGTCGTTGGGAGAGTGTAACAGGTAATTTAGTGTTAACCACCGTAAAGAGTGTAAAGACTGACTTTTCGAGCGTTAGCCCTTCGTCAGCCTTTACACTCTGTACTATACAAATAGTTACATCCGAAACAAAATAAAATAATTTACTACTGAAATAAATGCATTTGAATTACTTGCTTAAGCACTTCTTGCCACTGTTCGTCCGTTGTACAGCCTCTGTGATAAAGTGCCTTTCAAGTAAAAAGAAAATAAAAAAGGAAAATAAAAAAATTATAAAAATAAAAAATAAATAAATAAACTAAAAATTTGTGACAAAACAAAGATATCCAAGAAACCCGAGATCAGTCTTAATTTCCACGTACCTTCCGATACTCGTTCTCGAATTGAACTTTACTTTTGAAGGTAACGTGAGCTTCGTAGTCATTCAGAAAAATATTATGGGTGAAAAAACACTGACAGACGAAATGTTCAGGTTCATCCGCCATGTTGAACCGTGAGACACGCTAGCTTGGTAACTAGTGACTTATTTTCTGCTAGAAGCGTTGCATCATGGATTATTTCTTGTAACCAAAGCAAATATGGCGTCCTTGTGAGGCACATTTGTCTTCGAGAGATTTTAATATTTGATCGTTTGAAAATAAGTCCATGCCTCAATAACATTATTTACGAAGTATTCGGCAGCTCTCGCGTCTTGTATCTTCTCCTGATCGCTAAGGAAAGATTCGTTGTTGATTGTGTACGTCGAAGTGGTCTTGACTTATTAATTTCGACTACTTAACATCAGAGTATGTCTGCAACAATTCTTTCAATTTGTTCAACTTTGAAGAGGATAGCTTGCAGTGATGTTGGCGTAAAAGTTGCTTAGCTTCAATCTGAAGGAACAAATACTGAAAAAGGAACGTGTTAAAAAAGTTAAATTGACAAATTTAATTTGGTCTTTTTAATTAAAAAAATCTACTTTGGTTTCAATCGAGATTTATTCCACTTTTACGTGAGGAACTACGCTTCTTGGTGAAGCGTTCGGTGCAATGGCACATTTACTTGGAAGTGAAGCTTGTTTAGAGAGCTTGAAACAAGACGTCAATGACGTTCAAACGACAGTAATGGATTTATTATCCAGAGTAGGACATTTAAGAAGTCCATCATGGAAATATCCCGATAAGGTAGCATGTGAATTGGATATTGATGAACTACTGGAGAGATATTCATATTCCAGTGATGAAGATCACTGTAAACTGTCACACATCATTCTTTTTGAACTTCTGATTGACAGGTATTTTTTATACAAATAATATTATATAATAACTATGCATACATTTTGATTGGTTCCTACTTATACTGTATTGGACAACAGATGCATAAGTGACATCACGATTGGTAACATTTCCTTTTTATTGTATAAAACAAATCTCAACGTTGCCAAGGGTCTGTAATAGATCACAGTGGACGTCAAATGTGGTAGGAACATCAATGACACACACGCATGCAACTCATGTGCCACTTTTGTTGTTCCTACCATATTTTGACATCACCTGTGATCTATTACCGTAAAGATGCATAGCAGTGTGAAATCTGTATGGTAGCATTTGTTTAGATTTAAAATTCAAGATTTAGAATCTTTTTCTTATTGAGATTTCTGGGTGGATTTAGGCTTTGGGCGCAAACAGTCCATAAGTTTTTAGGGTGACAGTGGTTGGAAATACCTTAGGATGTGGGAATTAAATTTGAGCAGAGTTAAGATAGTTTCCCTTTTAAACAATCTGAACTCATGTTTCATCAAAATGTTATTCTGATGAAGACTTTTGCTTCCTAGGTTATTGTTATTATAGATATAGGTTAGCTTGTAGTTTTTAGCCCCCACTATTTATATTATTTATGCTAAAATTGATAAATGTGGTAACAATGATAATAATTATGTTATTATTACTATTATTATTGTTGTTATTGTAATTATTACTATTATTAATTTCTGATGTTTATTCAGAAAAGGGCAGATTAACTTTTTCATAATCTCAAGAATGCAAAAACGATCTGCTGATTGACTTTTCTCAACAGACTTGTTCTTTTGCTGCAATGTATGGCTCAGTTCAGTGACCAACTGCTGACCTCATGTGATGGCAGGCCCAGTAGTGGTAAAATATTAGGTTCCAGTATGTCTGTTGGACTGGTAGCCAAAAAGTTTTGGAACAAACTTGTTCATGTGCAGCAAACCATCCAGAAACTCCAGACTGAGGTAAGAATCATTAAAAAATTGGCAAATTTTTCTTTGATGTGTTTTCAGAATCATAAATATTGTTCTGTTAGGTATGTTGGCAAAAGTTGGGCTCTTAAAGTAAAAGAATGCATATTGATATAAAAATAAGACTTTGTAGGAATTGGATGGAACAAATTAATTCCCAAAATGTGGATACCTTTAGTAGTTGTGAAGAACAACTCCCCAAAAAAAATCTGTCGACCAACAGGAGGTCAACAGGTGCTAATCATAAATTGTATTATGTTATTTATTGTCCCAACTTCAGCAGACCTAGAGATTACATGAGATGGGAAGGTGTATCCTCTGACAACCTGGCCAAGTTTAGCACACAACAATTCATTGCTTAATTTATAGTGGCCACAATGACCTAGCACTACATTTTTATTATAGTTTTTGCTTCCTTTCTCCTCATTTTTTGGGTACTGATTTGCTTGATCTTGTATTAAAAAGCAAAAGATGAGAAATGACATGTTGATCACCTTTGATAATTTCAATTTATGGAAGTTGATTAATGTTTTCTAGAGCAAAGCCAAAAACAAAACAATGTCCAAGATGGAAGACACGATAACAGATCTGCGGAGTGAGGTAAAACTCTTCAAGCAAGCATCAGATAAAAGATCAGGCAAATCTTCTGTTGTCCAAGGCAAAATTGAAAGCCAAAGTGCTAATAGAACTTCTGTGAAGTTCATTCTCTCTCCATCTGAGGAGTTATCTTTAGAAAGTTCTACACCCTCAAAGGAACTTACCCTTGCTGTAGAAGATGTTACTAATGCAAAGACTTATCACGAGTCATCAACACAGACTTATGACACTGCATTTATTCCATGTGAGGCTTGTGCTAGAACACAACAAAATCTTATTGAAGTTGGTAGCATGGTGATAAAAGTATGTGAATCTCAAGGACTTCCATCTTCGCTGGCAAAGCAGAAAAAACTCTTGCGGCAGTCGCTAATGGCTGCTGCTGATGTGTCCAGGTGGGCATCTGAACAGAGCCATGATCTTGCAAGAATTAATGATCACTTGGATAATTTGTATGCACAGATAAATCCACTGGAAGATAAACTTATTAGGTCAAAACAAGTTTGTGCGCAACTGGAAAAGCAAATCCAAGACCTGGAAAAGCAGTTGTTAGATAAGGACAGTGAAGGTGAAAAGAAAGAAACGGACTTTAAAGAGAAGCTTAAACAAGTTGTTGCTGAGAAAGATCTGCTATTATCTGATGCAGAAAAAGTGAACAATGAACTTGTGAAGGGAAAAGATGTCCTTCAGGGTATGGTGCTCAAACTGGAGGAAAAGAAAAAGAAGTATAAAGAAACAGTTAAAACTCTAGGTAAGTATGCAAAGACAAATGACAAATTTACCAAGAGTTAAACAGCAAACAACATGGCTGATTTTGAAATAAGGAAATGAAATGTAGCCAGTTGACACAAGACAACACAGAAAATTGATCAGTGTGGCTTATTTCATGTTTTCTTTTCATCCAGGTGAAGAAAACAACAGGTTGTTAACAGAGTTAGATAAGGAGTCTAAGGAGGTAGCAAGATTAACAGTGGTAGAGTCTGAAGTACAACAACTGAAGGTAGAAATGGATGACTTACAAGTCAAACTAAAAAACACTTCTATTGAATTGGGAAAAACACAGGCCAGGAACAAGACCTTGGAGAAACACGAACAGGTTAAATATGCAAGTTTCTATTGTTAGTGGAGGTGATAAGATTAACCCCAGGTGTACATGTAACTCTTAAACTTATAGCTTGGATTTAATGTGAAAATGATATTAGAAATCCAGGCTGTTAGAGGATGACAAGATCTTATATGTTTTTATTTGAACTTGTGCATAGCCTTTTGGGTGGGGGAGCAGCTCTCTTAGTCCTTGGTTGGATGTGTGCCACAGAGTGCAAATGAGGCCATAGCTTTTCTTTATTGAAGAAGGGTTGGCTCAGTTCTTTTAGTTCAGAGCTCTATATTGACAATTCCTCGTTTTTATCCCTGGTTGGTTTTATGTGCAATATGCTGGGTTCAGGGTTGATTTAGAAGGAGCTCATACTTGATGATGTAGAAACAGGGATAAGGTTGTAGCAGCCAGCTGTTTTAGTGAGTCTCATGTGCAAACATTGATTTAATTTACTTCCTGAGGCTTTGCAAAGCAAACATGATGCACTTCTTAAAAGAGTAGATAATCTGGACAATGAATGTGAGGAGCTGCATGACAGAGTGCTTGAGGCAGAAGGAGAGAGAGATGAACTGCAAGGAGTGATGGAAGGTTTGCAAACTGAAAAGACAAACCTCTCTGAAGAGCTTGATTCCAAGCAGGTAATTTGTGGCATTTTGTCTTTTGTGTTAGTGGCTTTGGCTAAAATTATTTTGTCACTCTGTGCTGGGTGTTAAGGTTAATTCTCTGTAAGTGGCCAGTTCTCTGCAGCAGGCACTTTTCATAGGCTTCAGGGTGTGGCCATGAGCAAAACGTGAAATAAAGAAAGGGAGAGTTTTCTATTCGTGGTCATCTACAAAATTAATCAACAATGCACCTCATTTTACGCCAAATTGTTGGCCACGGTTAAAATTTGAAAACTTGGAACACAACACCAAGTACTTCCTTTCTGTTTCTACACAGAACCTTCTGGAAGAACTTAGACTTGAAAAGGAAAAACTTCTGCAAGAAGTGGAAGAATTTGAGGCAAAGACGAACGAACTTGAACAGCAGCTAAAAGAAAGCGAAGAAAAACTTCAACTCGTGGTAGAATTTCCATCCATTGATTCCAAACAGCAGAAATCTTCCTCGCCAGACAAAGAGGTGATGTTTAATGGGGAAGTTCCTTCAGAAGCAGAGGTAGCTAAAGATATGGAGAGACAAGTTATGGCCAACAATATCAGAATTATGACTCTTGAGGAACAAAATGAAAAGTTGAGGAAGTCTATATCTTTCTTGATGAACACTCGAGAAAACATCTCCAAGAGGAAAGTAAGTGGAAGACAATACTAAACAGTCTCCATCTCCCTCAACGCAAACTCCCAAAGATTTTCCTTTTCCGAATTTCGTGTGAATGGGATAATTTGGTCTTGTAAACAAAATTGTTAAAGTAAATTGGCCACCATGAATAGTTTCTAAAGCTAACGTTTTGAGCGGTAGCCCTCGTTCTCTCTCAGTGCGAAGAACGAACGGCTTCGTTAAAATGACTTATGAAGAATGTCGCATGCGATTAATTTATCATATCCGAAAATACACTTACC